ATAAGTTCAAAGAAAATGGTAAAATTTATTTTATTTAAGCTACATTGTGATAGCGACAGTTATACGTACTGCTAGAGACAAAATTTGATTGATCTTGAGTCACTTGAAACTGCCTATTGAAAACTATGTATTTTATTAATAAATATTATTATTATTATTATTATTATTGAAACCCACCCCTGGCTTAAATGACCAGCATTCAGTCAAGACCTCTAAGATTACGGGTACTAAGACCAAATAATGATATTTAGAGAGCGGATTTATAAGCACAAAAAAATTAAGAATAAGCGCTTAAATAAGCATAACATTTTCAATAAAAAAGTTTTATTTTAAGCAAAAAAGCATTAAAAACATAATCATATTACAAATCAAAGAACACTTCTTAGAACTTTGGATAAAATATTGTTACAATAATCCTAGACTTTATATTGTACACACGTATTTCAGTTTTCTTTAAAACAATTTATGATTGTAATATGTTCCAAGTTGTCCACTGTAAAATTTTTTCGCCGATCTTTTAAAATGTGTTTAAAATTGGAGAATGTGCGTTCAACATCCCCACTCGTTGTTGGCGCAAATTTGAATTTTGCAACTAATGTTGAATCTAACTCCAAATGTTCCACCTTCTGGCCTTGTAAAACACGAGCAACGTTGGAAAGAACACCGAAACTTGCATTTTTATTTAACACTTCGTCAAGTTTTTGAGATACTCTAGTACCAATATCACCCCTTACTGCGTTTGCTTGTTGTTTAAATTCTTTCACTAAGTTTATGGCATCTACCAACAACATGTTGGATTTTTCCAACTTTTCTATTACCTCACATACGAATTGATAATAATTGATTCTTAGAAAAGCTAGACCTTGTCGCAAATCTTTGTTTTCCAAAATATTTATGCAATCTTTAATCGATTGAGAAGAATCTTCGCTAAACTCCGTAACTACTTCCTCAAATTCTTTGATATATTTGTCATAATAAAATGTGGCCTGTAACCATGTTCCCCACCTCGTTATAATCGGCTCTGGGGGCAATGGTATGTTTGGAAATTTTTCCTTAAAATGTTGCACTCTTAGTGGGGCTTTAACAAAAATCTTTTTACCATTTGCCACTAATTTATTAACAGTAGGAAACTGCAAACGTATTCCTTCAGCCACTCTGTTTAAACCCTGGTCAATGCAAGTAGAGTGAATTAAATTGGGGTACAATATTTTTAGATTATTCCCTGCTTTCAACATATAACGAGCTGCATCCGAGATCATCAATAAAATTTTATCCGCCGGTACGGCATTTGGCAAAAATAGTGACGTAAGACTGTCATTTACAAATCTGGTAATCGTATTGCCACATGTTTTATCTAACATTTTCAAACTTACTACATACCCTCGACTAGGGAAATTTTCATTTAAGATTCCAACAATTAAACTTGCCACGTATTTTCCACAACTATCGGTTGTTTCATCGACAGCGAACCATAAATAATTATCTCCAGTGCGATGTTTAATTTCGTTGTAAACTTGCTGAAATACTGGGCCTACATAATTTTTTCGGAGAGTACTTTCAACCGGAATAAGTATGTCGATTGCAGTGTTTTTCAAGGAATTCTTGAGGAGGGCCTTTCTCCAATTTTTTTAAAGGTATATTGGACTGGATCATCATTTTATATAAATCGAAATTAAACTGAAACTGCTCATCTTTTGTGGAAGTAGATGCAACAGATTCATGTATGGTCTGCTGTTTAATTTTAGAAACTTCAAACATTTTCTTCCTTTCTACATGAAGAGTCGTTCTGATATGTTGCGTCACGTTATATTTTTTATCACTTTGAATATAAAATAACGTACATATACAGGATTAACAAAGAAAAATAGATAAAAAAAATTAGTGGGCTTACGGTTTTCACACAAGCTCTGCAGAATATTTTGTTGTTTTCTAATTTTAATTCTGGAAAATCCCTTATCCACTCATCCGGCGTCGATTTTACTTTCGGCATTCTTTTAAAATATTAGTAATATTACCAAAAAGAACTCAACATGTAACAAGGGAGAACCACGTATAACACGGGAGAACCACGTATAACACTGTACTACGACAGATGCGATAGACTGATGGTTGTGAAATAAACGGTTCATTTACTTAAAAGTTTCCATTAGAAAAATTTTAAGGTAGGTAGTTGGGTACAATAATCCTTTTTTCTAGAAAATCTTCAACGGTCTTGCCGCAAAATGCCGAAAAAGAACATCTGGTTAAAAGCTTTAATTCATTATCAACGGAAGTAAGGATTTAAAGTCATAAAATCTATGGAGTATTTTTCCAATCCTATAATAAAATTTTATTACCCAAACGACCGGAACCTATTCACAGAAAGGGTCTTGAGTAAGTGTACTTCAATGGTCAAGTCCAGGTAAAATGCATACGATATGATACGGCTAACTAACAAGTATTTGTCATCCCGACAAAGACGGCATTTGAGCAAAATATTATATTATATTTTATAGCTTATTTAATAACTCATATTCGTCGAAACAAGCATTAAATAAGCATATAAGTTTTAATATGCATAAAATTGAAAAAAAAGCAAATAAGCATAAAAAAAATGTGCCAAATAACTCCAAATTCTATCATAGTTACAGATATAAAAAAGTTTTGAAGTGCTTACATTTTTCACAAAAAGCATTAAACCTAGAAATTCGCTCTCTAATTGATATTCATTGCAATAACTAAAATAACTTTTGACATTTTAGATCTACAGTACACAAATTTGTCCGCTATTATTCTTTAATCTTACCTCATCCCCAAGAGCCTAGCGTAACTACCGATCATTTATCCACGCATCACTTGAAAAGTGTCCACACAACTCTGTTGCATATGGCTTTCCAACGCTGCCAACTCAAATTTGAACAATGGGCAGAAATATGATACGTATTAATATATTATCTGTTATTACTTATTAGTTTTGAGGAAAATGCCGGATCTATTCAACTTATACAAGCAACTAACAAACTGTATATGAAACTACCTACTGTTTGTAATTAAACAAGAAGACAGAAGAAAATAAAAGTTGTTGGTAGTAGAACACATTTCTTCAATTATAAAAACATATAGGTCATTAATATGAAACTTCTTGAATTCAACTACTGTCAAGAGTTATTGTACGGAAGAAATCACTTGCTCAAAACCTTTGAAAAAAGGCACTTCTCTAAGTTATTTTCTGGAAGCTATGTAAAATTAATGAATTTGTTAAAATTTTTATTTATTCCTCTCTTGTAAACATCAATTTATCAAGCCTGTAAAAATTTTACTGGCTACCCAGTAAAGTTTTTACACCTCTGCTTAAGCTCATATATTTTAAATTTATTATTGTAATTTGAAATGACAGCCAAAGCTGCAGATTTTTCAGGCAACAAACTTGCAGTCACACTTGCTGCTTCGTCAGTAATATAGCTTATGGCACTCATTTCAATAAATCGAAATATTTAGATAAATTGATAAATCTAAATGACACAACTAAACGTAAACGATAAAATAAGTGCCACGCTGACGGACGCATTCAAGGGAACAGAACTAAAGCTCAAACGCTCTAAGAGTTTTTAATAATTTCTAACAGTTACAACTGAGGAACAAATCAAATGTTCAACAATACACGCATGGTAACGATTTTACTGGGTCCAGAAGGTTACTGGTTTAACGTTTTTTATTAATTTTTGTTTATAAAGGATACGTTTATTTCATCGCACTAGAAGCGTGAAAAAAGTGTCATAGCGGTTCATTTTTTCACGCATTTGAGTGAAAAAAAGTGTCGTAGCGTCGTAGCGTGTTATTTTTTAACGGAATAAAACATAGAAGCCTGCCGTTGCTGTGGTAATTCATAAACTCAAGTGGTGTGTATTAATTTTTTTAACGTTCTTTAAAAAAAGTGTAACATTTTTTATTAATTTTTGTTTATAAAGGATACGTTTATTTCATCGCACTAGAAGCGTGAAAAAAAGTGTCATAGCGTTTCATTTTTTCACGCATTTGAGTGAAGCATGTCATTTTTTAACGGAAGTAAAACATAGAAGCCTGCCGTTGCTATGATAATTCATCAACACAAGTGGTTTGTATTAATTTTCTCCGTGTGTTGTAATTTGTGTACTCGGACAATGGAATCGGACAGCGAAGAAGATTTTTCGTGTACCCCCGAAAAAATTGTCAAGACGGCAAATACGGCTACATTTAATATCGATGTTCCAAAATAAAAAGTTTTTGAAGTTGGTGGGTGCTGAGTTTTGTTACGAACGCGAAAAAAATGTTTGGCTTTGTACGCCGCCTATAGTATTGGAGGCGGCAAAAGAAGCTACATTCTTGTTTTGAAGGTTGCAGAATATGGTAATTTAAATTTGTTAATAATTTCAATTTTCAGTCTTTCGTTTCAATTTTTTATTGTGCTACAGTCGTGTTTAATAGATCTACTCGTGCTCCGCTCCGCACTCGTGTATCTATTATAACGACTCGCTTGATATTTGTTACTTTCGACACTTGTTACGAAATATACTATATCACGGCAAGTAACAAAAAATTCCTATCGCATCCGACGCTGCAGCCTTAACGAAGATATAATATGATATTTTATTGGACACATAGGTAAAGTTTTTTTTTTTAATGTTTAACGCAAAGCTTCCTAAGCGGACGAGAATCGTCGTCTTCCTTTTTAATCGGCTTTACTTTTATTTCAACTGTTTGCATTCACGTTTTTATAAATTTATGGAAAGTTTTCGATTACGCTTCTTTAGGGTTTGAATTTCCGTTTGTTCTCTCAACAACAGCGGTAGAAAACCCGTTCTGCAAAGCAGATAAAACCTTTTATAGGTGCAATCAACAACGTTAACATTCCAGTAGTGCAACTGCATCCTTGTTTTATTGGACCATGTTCCCGGGTAATTAACGTCGAACGCTGCGAACGTAAATCAAGTGGTTCGGCAGAGCAGTAATTGAGTTTTCACGTTGGAATATTTTCTTTGCAGGTGCTCTGGTTTAAGGATACTGCCCAACTGGGCACAACTGAACAGCATGCAGCACACGCAAGGGGCAACAGATACACCCTCGTTATTCGGAACGTTACGTCGGCGGACTTTGGAAACTACAGGTTAGAAACTAGTTTGCTGTTTCCGACTTAAACTACTGAAGCACTTTGATAATTTAATACTTTAAGTACGAGATCGCAGCAGTGGATTAGTGGGAAAGCCCAGTAAACGGAACGTTGGCGGACTTTTTTTTAATTCTTGGAAGAAATTTGCATTGCAAATGGATCTCATAATCTTATCGGTTGGTTTAAGCTCATTTTTCATGAAAAAATACGAGCTCAGAACTTCATTTCAAAATTTACGTTTTGATTGTTAACGCCGAAACATAAAAATTATTGTCGCACCTTCGGAAAGTAGGACGACCGTTACAACTTATGCAAATTAATAATTTTCCTTTTATAATTTAATAGATGTTCTTTCTAAAAATACTTAACATACATTTTTATTTTAATCGATGAGAGTGCTTAAAAATACATAAATTGTGAACTAAATAAAAAAAATGCTAATCTATCTGATACATATCCAGACATAGAAAATAAACTGACGATAAATTAAGGGCGTTTTGGTTGTTAATTGCTTCGAATGTGCAAAAAAATACACGATGTTTTATTATTGCAACCATTGTTAGATTATGAAACGAGAAAGGCAGGATGTGTATTCAAGTATGAACTTAGTGTAGCAGCTGAGAATATGTAAGATGACCATAAAACTATAGGAGGGAAGAAAGGACAGTTGGGATAGTAACACAACAAAAGTTGGTGATAATATAATCAAGCGTTGACCATAGACACACGTCAACCAATTATAGTTTTAATATTTTCAAATCATAAATATTCATTTTGTTTCAAAATTAAGCTTCCTCTGCTCCAACGCACTGAATTAACTCTTTTCTTCGATGTAAGTAACATTCGTGCGCAGAATATTCACAACTAATACTAAAGAATCAGAAACAAACTTGTGCGTTCACCAAGTCTGTTGTTAGAGAGAAGATAACTTCCCACAATAATTAATTCAATCAGTATGGAATACGTGGATTCTACGAAAGACAGGGATAACGGATTTATTATTACATTCACTTTCTTATTTAGTATTGAGTTAATCTGAAACAGTTATTTATACAGTTAAATTCTAGTTTTGGTATGTTTTCTATTTCGGTAGTGTAAATGTGGTTGTTCCAATTTGATCAACATCAACAAAAAAGGAAAATAATCAAATAGTGCTTCTATTTTTAGGACAAAATCAAAATGCATTCTAAATAATTATTCCATTATTTACAAGCATTTTCATTAATGAATAACTGTAAAAATTATGTTTATTACATTCTATGTACTAAATAATAATCATTTAATGCTATTGTACCGTCCTGCTGTCTTTTATTTTTGGTTTACAAAATAAATAAGGAATTTGATTTCCATTGTACGCTTTACATCTGATTTAACAAACATGCCTCAAACTCAGTGACATTTCTATACTATCTTTCTACTGAAAATATTAGCATTATGACACCTTGTATATGAACTAACTTGTAGTAAGAAAACAATACAAATTAAAAAACAGAATCCCCTTGATGAAGTAGAACATAAAAAACAAGACTAAAAATTTGTAAGGTTTTCTAAGCTGCGGCTTCTGCCCTTTAGGATAAATAGTGTTTCAAAGCAGACATATGATTCTAAAGAATGTACTCATTAATTTTGAAAATATTGTTAGCGAAACTGTTACAAAGTTAGTCTCGATTTAAAATGTTTTGTTCGAGCATAAACTAGAAACAATTTATATGTCTGTTTACTTGCGTATTTAGATGAATTTAGGTAAGTGTACTTTTATGTTTATCACAAATTATTAATTTTGTTATATTGGACTCGTTTAATTTAAAAGTTTTAGAAATTAATTATCGATTTTGAGTTATCCGTTTGAATGAACGCGAACAACGAAGAAAAATTAAAACTTTGTTTTCTCGTCTACTACACTGATATAATTGACTTCTTCATTAAAGCATCATTGTTGAATAACTGAGTTTTTCTGTTTGATTGCAGTTGTGTCGCAAGCAATTCTCATGGAAAAGGACGGGGACAATTAACTTTAACAGGAACTGCCGGTTTAGCAGTTTTTGATTCACCACCACTTGGCACCGAGAAAGATACGTATAATATCTCTTGGTCGGTTAACAGTCATGCAGCAATAACAGAGTATCGTCTCTTTTATCGTCAACAACCACATCATCACCATGGTCATCATCAGGAACTAATTTTTAATAATTCTAAAATGATATATCGCAACGACTGGAACAGTGTTGTACTTCCTGGGGCTGGGGTCACTAATCTACAGATTCCATTGCCACCGCCATTTCCAGGAGTAACTCGTCAAAAGATGTGGTACACTGTGAGATCTTTACACCCGTCCACTACTTACGAGGCTCGGGTGCAAGCTAGAAATCAACATGGATGGAACAAATTGTCCCCCATTTTCCACTTTACTACAAGATCTAACGGTAATTTTTTATAATTTAGACATTTTTTTTTTGTACACTTATAGTTGACCCAGAGGAATAACAAACATTTACAGTCGTAATAAATTACAACGACAAGCAAACTCGTCAGATTTACGTAATTTACGACAGTAAATAAGTAGCTTCCATCAAACTTCTACCTACGATCACGTTAATCCACCCCACAAAGAATTGGGTGAGGCAACTACAACGCATGGCGCCCATGGGATTGTAAATATACTTAAGAATACACAAATTACTTAAATCCAACGGATTTATTTGTCGTGACGATTTATAACTTTAGTCAAAGTTTCTTATCCCCGTATGTCGACTTTACCTGCTAAACTGTGTTAATGGTTGTGTATTCGTGAATACTGAAAAATATTAGGTCTAAGCTGTTGACAGTTATATTTTCTGTCAATGCTGCTGTTATGCTGAAATGGACAATCAAATGTAATTAATGATTTGTCTTAATTTTACTAAAAGTAACGAGACATTTCAAAGGGATTTGTTCCTTTATTTGCTGAAAATAGCCTGTACGAAAGAGCGTGAACATCAAAATCCTTTTCAAAAGAACCTATTTGACAACTGTCACAAAAATATATTTGTCGATGTAGTGAGCGAAGTCGCGCTTATTTGATGTGTGTGTTAAAAGGATTTTTTTCATGTCAGAGTCTGCCTACAACAGAACGAAGTTTTCCGGATTTAGATCATATCAATTTTAAAAAGAGTTTAGATGTTTCAGCCGCTTTCGTAAGGGGTATCTTCAGGAATTTTGGAACAAAAACAAAGAAAAGTGTTAAAGAGAATAGGGCAATATCGGATTTGAATCTCTTTTGTTGCTGAATGGGATTGTGGGGGGCTTCTGGACAAGTTTAGTGACGAGCGGGAGAGCGGTTAGTAGGAGGGAGGTGTGGGCGAGTCGTGGCATTCCGAACAAGTGGAGAGGATTTGTTTCCAAATGGAAGACAGCAAGAAACCATTGTCTCTATTAAAACAATTTTAAAAAGTGTAACAATGTTTTAGTCTAGCCTATTGTATGACACCTGCAGAAATACTGTTGAATATTTTCATTGTCACTGATTTAAAAATGTTAGAGCATGGTTTATTTGAGTTAGTGAATGGAAATAGAAATTGTTTTCAGATATTTTTTACAAAACTCAGTATGTCAGAATAAAAAATATATATTACCACCAATTTAAAATGTATGTTGAAATATTCGTCAAAAGTATTTTCTCTAACTACAAAATTTTCTGTTCTTATATTAGAAGCAAAAGAATCTTGTTTCACTATTTTCCGACTTCTTCAAACTAACTTTCGGAATTACAAGCTTCTGACTCTGGCGTGTGTCATACATATGTCGTCGGCACCTCGGAGAGGGAGATAAGTATCTGTCGACATATTGTTTTTATAGAAAGTAATTTTTATATATTTTTACAAAGAATAATATCGTCATGCTTTATTTTGAAAAGGGATTTCTGCAGCTAGCATCGTAATTTATGGAAGCTATTTTTGCAATAGCCTTTTGTACTTGGTTTTGATTACGATGAAAACAACAATAGGGATAATAAAACTTTTTCAGCAGTAGCGGCTCGTGGTCTTTTCGTTAGGGGAGGCAACATTTTCAAAATCACCAGGTATTAATTAATCCACGTAAAGCAAATTCAAACACTCCACAAAATTGTATGCACATTATCAATCGGCGTAATATATGGCGATTTTTGTCGACCCTTGCATTATCTGCTCGAACATTATTAATATAAGCGGTGTCTAGTTGTTTCCGAATGTCTGGTGAGAAAAAAAAATAGTTTTGATAATTATGACACAAATTTCCGGATAATTATTTTATATATTGAAAATTACTCTTATTCCAGTATGTTTGTAGGCGTTGTAATTTTGGGGCCGCCCCTGAGAAAATCGCGCTTAAGTTTAAACTTTATAAGAAATTCTACAACGTCATTGTCATTAGAGAGTTTGAGATTCTTATACAGAGTCATCAAAATTAATTGAGAGAGTTGGTACTCCCTGTTTTTATCGTGAAGTTTGTCAACCTTATGACAGATTTGTTTAAGGTTACATGGCAATGAATTCAGTGGCGTCACAAGAGAACTAGGTGTTGATTGTAGAACTCACCTGAATCAGTTGCGGATACGAAAGTTACCTTCTTGCAAAGTTGCGAACGGTTTTAACGTTTGTACGAATCGCTTTGGTCGATGCGCACCCTATGCCTTATTGGTACACCGCATATTAGGAAACGCAATCGAACAAATTTAAAATCAAATCTGACAACTAATATTTTCTAGCAAAAAAAAATCGAAAAAAGACGCCACTGAGTTTTGAAATTTGAAACTTGAAACTTCAAATCTAGCAGCTAATATTTTTATACAACTTAATAAACCAAATTATTCAAGTTTAGGTTTATCAACTCTCTCAATCAATTTTGATGACCCTGTATTCCTATCAGCATTGCAAGACTGACATTTTCATTGTCCTAATGTTGTCAAGGTAACTTAAAAATTTTAGTAGATAACCTCAGCAATGCACCTGCAGTGAACACCTTTTCTCGCGTCGAATTAATGCACAACTAAGTGCTCATTCACAATGGGCATAAAACATAAGGATGTCCTAAGCATTAATGCATAAAAATTTATGTCTAGTGCTCTATGCTTGTATTCGTTCACAATGAACATAATGCTTAGGACATCCTTATGCTTTATGCCCATTGTGAATGAACACTTATGCAGCTTATGCGGAGGCATGCCTCAATGATCAGCGCTAAATCCTGTCGAAAGCGCTTAGTTCAAAATATGTTAACAAGACGCGTTTTAATAAATCGCAATGTTCTATAATATTATTTGTTATATGTTTAAAATATATACAGGGTGGTCCACGAGTAATAAATAGCCTGAATAAATTTGAAACGAACCCAAAACACATTTTCTTTGCTTCCTAGATTTTTGTTTTGAATGTTTTCAAATATAAAATATCTGAACTTCAAACTTTGAGGGAAAGTTTAAAATTTGTCAATTTCTGTCATACGTATTTCGAAAGAAAATATATTCGAATTACGAAAAGGTAGATATCAATATAACATATAGGTATAAAACAATCATAGTTAAATTAATAATTCAGTGGTTTTGCAAAATATTTCAGGGTGGCCCTTTTTTTGACAGTCAGTGTAGAACAAATTATGTTTTAAATTAAGGAAAGAAGTAAAAAATTAAGAAAACCAAATGTCTGCATTAACTTCATTCCAACTACTTTGGATTTTCTTGTTCTACAAAATCAAGTGCGGATTTTTGGTGTAACATTGGTTACATACTTCCAATGCATTGATTAGTGTTTTTTAGAATTGAACATATTTATTAAGCCCACATAGTATTTGTTAAAATTAAAACACTGCACACTACCTTGAAAATACCACCGACAACACAATTTGAAGTTTGCCATGAAGGAAAACAAAGACAGGTTGTAATTCATTTATACTCAGTGGCTGATTTTGGAAAGGTTTTGACTGTTCAAAAGGTTTTAAAAAGAGGTAGTAAACTTAAATTCTACGAACGTTAGTATAATTGACTTAGTTTGTTTGAGTTTACGTGTTTCGTGAGATTAACTTTGACGTTCGTTGAAGTTTCAACGGTGTAGCATGTAATACCGCTCTAATTTTACTATAACCCAAAAGCACTTTCTTTCAAAGTGGAGGTTCAAGTCGTTTACTATGTGTATTAGTTGCTAATAATCTCCACTCGAGTTTTTTTCTTTAGCAACTGAAATCAAAAAGTGCCATTTTTTTTAATTTTGGCAAAAAAAATACAAAAAAAAAACTTCTCAAATACCAAAGTTATTCGACCGTTCCAGGACTTTATACGAACCCAATATACATAATAATTTGTAAGTCAAAATAAATATTGCAACCTAAAAAGCAATAAAATTGCTACAGTACCTATTATTATTCAACTATTGGCAAGCCGTACTCATGTGGACAGCTCTTCAAGTGAGGATGAAATTTGGAATGGCGTTTGACACTATTTGGGCATCTTTTAATGTTTATGTTTTATATTTTCTAGACATGGAAAATATGGTCGAACCCTCCGCCCAGCCCGCTGTTTATGGAATCAGTCAACAAGGGATGGCACCATTTAGCAGTGGCGTTCGTGAAAAACTTTCGTCTGCATTCAGTTTGATTGTGGTGTTAGTGGTGCATTTGTTTTAAAGTAAATTGTTAGACGAGTGCAAGTGAATTTTAAACCAAAGTGTTGTTTTAAGAGAAAACGAAACCACGCAATGTTATTTTTTAAAACTTTGTGATAACATGTGGAAACGAAATGAAAACTATCTGAACGTAAGTTTTTAATGTGTGAAGTGACTGCCAATTTATTTCCGATGTTGCTTCTTCAATGTGTAGATAAGAAGTTTATTCATCTTGATATAATTCACGTTTAGATATTTATCCATAGAAGTGGTCATTTTTAGACTATAACCCAAAAGTACTTTCTTTCAAAGTGGAGGTTCAAGTCGTTTACTATGTGTACTAGTTCCTCATAGGACTAATTCTCTATCGTTATCACTCCATGGTGTCTTTCCCTATCGTTGTTTACAAACCATGTTTTTGGGTTACAACTATGATTATAAAATGTAAGTTAATCTTTCTTTCATTTTTCACAGCTTTTTTGCGTGCACATATTATACGTAAATGTCATTGTATATAAAGACTGAACTATTTTTATAAGAGTGCAATAAGATGTATTAGCTCTATAACTGTTTCGATGATAACGATGTGAAATACCGTGTAAATAAAGCTTAAATAGAATAATATTTCTATAATTTTTTTTTCCAATTTAGTGATTGCAAGATTTACAAGGATACAAGATCTTACCTTTAGCTTAAACTAAACAACGAGGAAACGTAAGTACCCTTTCTTCTCGTATGATTACCTTTTGGATATTGTGAATGTAAAGTACACAAAACATCTGAGCTATATTAAAAGATTCTAGCGATTCCTGTGGTAGTCATTAAAGTTCATTATAAAGGAAAGTTGCATTCTGGAGAATTTGCAACAAAAAAGGTTTTGCTAGCGGAATGTTGGGCCATACAGATGCGAAGAAGTCGTATTTACTAAGCTATATTCTGCTGCAATAAATATATTGAAAGTGGATACAGGACGTGACAGCGAGTTCTACAGTGTTTTCGAATTAAAAAGATACGAAAGTTAGATATGGTAAAAAATCTGTAAAGTTGCTAATATCTACCTCTCCTCCCTCCTGTTGCATGCATCTCAGACCAAAGTTTTCAATGCAGGTTTAACGAATAATAATTGTTGTAGATTAAATAATCATACACTACACGGGAAATGTGTAAGTTAACCATCTACTGCTAATAAGTAGCACACGGTTTTTTGAACCCACGTTTCATGTACAAGTTGTCCCATGTCTAATACAGCTCATTAGGGTCACAGTTTAAAACCAATTTCTAACGTAAATTGCGTTTCGTTTAGAGTTTACGCACAGAGTAGACATAGATTCTTTATAAAATAGGAAAAAGCAATGTTAAATTCAAACTCACCGACTGCTTTAAATATTATAAAACAATATCAAAGCGTGGATTCGCATTCCCTCTGTACGTCGAACATCAGATTTGAAAAGTATTGTGGTAGCAACCAATAAATTAAGGCTAATATTTTAGAGTTTCTGGTAAGAGTTTTATTGTAGAGGTGATGTTCAAAGCGTGTTGAAAAAAATGGTTGAAAGTTATTTCGACAGAATCTTCCGCCCCTAAAGAACAATAAAACAGATCGAGTTTTATAAAAAAATTATAAAATTTAATTTTGCGAATTTTATTTATTTATGAGAACTTTTAGAAGTTAAAATAAAGATAAGTATGTAATATTAAAGCAAGTGCAAAGAACCTTGCTACGGGTACGTTTCAAACGAGTTTTTCCTTTACAAAATTTTGTGATGACGTCATCAACATTTTTACAAGGACATGTACATCAATTTGGAGAGGTGCAGTATAATACTAATAATAACAGTATTGTGTTCTTAAATTTTCGGGAAAATCGAGTGACCCATGTTTGGTTTAATCAATAAAATAAATCAACTAGGTAATTCATTAATTTTTTTGAGCCTGCTCGAATCAGTAATTCTAAAAAAATATAAATGCAGTCATAAATTACACGTCATATTCTGCACATTTTCGATAGGATTTATTCGTTAAAATTTTGAGATGACGTCATCATTTTTTTGGAGGAAATAAACGGATACATTTTGATTACAAATTTACCATGGTTACCATAACTTTAAAGCGTCTGCAAGACTTCAAAGCATTCCGTTTCGCAGTTCCTAATTTAATCAATAAGATAAATTGACATATTCATTAATTTTTTTGAGTCACCCTGTGTAAGCAACTCTAAAAAATATGAATGAAATGATAAATAAAAAATGTAGACTCATCATGTTTTGCGCATTTTAGATAGGTTTTATTTAACAAAATTTTCAGATGACTTTATCAATTTTTTGGAATGGAATAAACGAATAAATTTTGATAAACGATTTACCCTCATCACGATAAACTTAAACGTTTGCAAGATTTCAGAGCATTCGGTTTTACAGCTTCAAACTTAAATTGCAAAATGTTACAAAATTTTAATTAACTATATATTTTTGTAAATTTTTGAGATGAAGTCATCCCATTGATGGTGGGGATGGACTCGATTACAATACTTCCTTAGCTTACGCTCAGGAAGTAAAAGTTAACGCACCTTTTGGCGTTTTATATGTTCATTAGTAATGTGTTGGGCAAATTACTAAATTCAGGTATTCTTGTTATATCGTTTATCACTTCAGGAGTGAAATAAAAATGTGAATAGTTCTGTGGAACTATTTATTTCACCTTCATAAATTTTGTAAGAAATTTAATGGAGATGTATAGGACAAATTAATAATTAACAACGGCATTTTCAGTAACCCCTTTGATTTACGGTAGGATAACTACTAAAATTTAAACTAAGCCGCAGGCACTAACGTCAAAATACGTCCACGTATTTAATTTTTTTGTTAAGTATGCTCAGTTGCTTGCGACTTTTCCACTTTATAAGACGTAAAATCAAGGAAGATACAGTTGTATCAAATGAGTCATGGAATGTGACAGAGTATATTTATAACAGGGTAGTTAACATCTTGAACACACGAGGATAAAGAACAGTATATATTAGTAACACAAAGAACGAAATTAACGCACCACAATGACTTTTGCTTTTCATCTTACGAGGTATCTGTGGAATAAACTGGAATATTGCAACCTGTAATCATCAGAAGGTTACCTATCTTGAACTGTGCGTACACGGATGAATGTTCCCATTCAAGTGTGTACCAACACTTAATTCATATTATTATTTGAGTGCTTCTAGTTTCTGCATCCTCTTAATTTCAATAAGTAGAGCTAGCTAAACCAATTATTAATATACCTAATTGTCCCAAGGCGATCTAAAACGTCTTATTTCAGATTGATCTGCCAGGAGCCTGCGAAAGTGTAGAAATTTTTTTCTGTTCGTACCATTAAACCTACCTCGAAATGTGTCCGCATGTCATATAAGTAAACATCTGAAAAAGATACCAAAAGTAACCACGTTAGTCCAATCGTGGCAGGTAAAATTTAAGCAAACTAATTAAGTGATACAATTTTCCTTGTGCCCAATGATGCAAGCGACCTGACGGTCGCCACTCGGACCGTAAAGAAGGTTCAATGGAAATACATAAATGCTCAACTATGTTGTCCAAGTATCAACTAACAATATACAATTTCCTTTTTCACTGCTGCATTTAAAATCCATAAAATGTTTACAATGGGGTTAGTGTGAGAATCAACGGTGGGTTCGAATTTTTATATTTCACTCTCATAAAGCCGACTTTCATACCATCGAGTTTTACACATTTAGATGTTATTTTATTATTGTACAAAATTACCCACGGTAAGTCAACCTCTGAAGCAGTCCGCTTAAGAGAATGATTTTGCGGGGGATACGAGGACATTTCTTTGGCCTACACTACTTTCGAAGAATAAATACTGCAGGGGAGAATAATTACACATAAAATATTCGACTTTAAGCACTATTTCAAGCTGAATGAAAAGGTTTTTTAAATTTTATATGGAATTCGTAACTAAACATCGAAAGATTACTTACGGGGCAATTCCAAGTTGGCTTTACGATTTCGAAAGTCCCTGTTGCCATGGGAAATGCGATGATATTAGTCGCGAATTGGACATCTATTTTTGTTCACTTTAAAACCTAGTGTCTCATTGTACATTAAATTTTCAGCAACTAAAATCTCCACTTACTTTGTGCAACAAGTCTTATGGAACATTCACTTGCTGCTAATACCAACTGCAACATTCGTATTTGCTTCAACTTTATGCTAGTTCTACATACACTTTAATGACAACGGAAAGACAAAAAGTCGTCAATTTAGCATAAAATTGACATTTTGACACTTTCTCACTTTTAACAATTTACTCACAAAAGAATTATGTGTACTTTTAATAAAATTGATAATTTCAAATTGTACACGTTCACGTGTTTGAAAATCGTATTTCTTGTTGCGTAAAAAATTTGAGTTTATGGAAACAAGAGTAATCAGTCAAACAACTGGTTATTTCACAAACCGTTGAGTAAATTCCTTCCATTACATTACGGCAATACACGAGTTTTCTAGTTAGCATGTCATATGGTCCTAAATTGCGTGTTTGCACAGTGTCAGCCAAAAAAAAAATCCAGCTGATCTAGCGATAGCTGGCAGTGGCGGAGTCGTCGATGTTTTAGAATAATGACGTTCACATTTATACACATTCCCCCAAGGTATTTTTTGCTTATGGTAAAGATAAACCATTGTTTCAGCCTTGACAAATGTCCTTTAATTGTGTGGCGAAATACAGCTCTATTCCGAGCCAGCTAGCACAGATGCCACGTATTATCAGCACCAGACAAATCGCTATTTCTAACGCCAACAATCCGTTTACCGGTCCGGGCCAGGAAACACTCTCTTCACGAACGTCTTCCGCCACTTCAACCCCCGATTTAAGTGTTTTAATGACGTGCTTCATTTCATCCTTGCGTTCGCTCGGACCGACTTGCTTTGTTAAATTTACCAGGGTAAATCGAAATAGGATTGTAAATCGGGTTTTGACGTAATCGAGGAATAGCTTTCTTTTAGAGTATACTGAAAAGTTGTTTGTGTTCAGGAGATTTGTTTGAGAGACGAAAAGTGCTCGCAGCAAATTTAATTAACAAAATTTCGTTTTAGAAGATGAGCTCTAACCGTCTTTTTATTATCCTGCAATCTGACACTGCACATTACTTTAAAAATTAAGATAATAGGAGCGTGCATTCAATAAAACGAGGTGACAAGGTACGACCTGTTCCCCGATTATTTTGTTCAATAAGCGACGTACAGTGGAAGTTTTCTTTAGGGTTTGACTAAAAACCACTCTTTCTTGAAGGTGTGATGAAAAAAATACAGTGCCATTATCATAATTATATTCAACCTTTTTAAATTATTGAGTCATGTCCTTTTTGGATCTATCATTCATTAGTAGAAGAAACTTCAGTTAGTGTCTTACATTTTTTCCATGATGTATTGTACTGTTATATTTATTTTCCGTCGACCTCACTGAAACTGATATTTTACGTAGGTACTTATTTTCGGACAAAAAAATGATACTCTTTTGATACCCAACATTTTTCGTCCGCAGACCTTTTTCGTCCGCTGTGGGTACAGTCATCAATTTGCAGACTAATGGCTGAGTGCCTATTACAGAGGACT